GGGGGGGTGGAGATTTTTCCTGGGAAGTGGTCGCGGCCGCTCAAATTTAAGGTGCAGTCGGTGCGCCGCTTATAATATTTGAGGAGTTAAACTGGGTAAAGTTTGGCTAGGTCTGGTTTTTAACTCCCTAAATGGGGAAATTTTGAGGTGTTATACCCTTTTAAGGGATCGGCTAGAGTTTCCCTAAGATCCTCAAAATATTAAGCTATAACGATGAGAAATTTATTTGAAGCATTAGATTCAAGTTGAACGGCTAGGATCTATCAGCCTCTCCATTAGGTTTGGCCTGATGCTATAGGTACATGAGTCTAGAAAGTAAGTGATCGTGCTTGGTATGTTGATTACTCTATCTATTTTTGACAAGGATGCTACTTGTTACTTCAAGCAACGCAGGTGGAGCAAGAAAAGCACCTTGGATGACAGCAAGTACAAACTCCGTCCATTCCCCATCATAACTGAAAGGAAATAAGGAAGAAGAAATTACGGCTGCCTTATGTTCATCCTGTGTTCATACACGGTGCCAGCCAGCTGCGTGTTCAGTTCTCTGCCCTTGCCTTTTGATCTAGTCTTCTCACACATTTTACACAAAGGTTGGGCAGTCCAGTCTAGCCAGGACAGTGCGAGACTGCAGGCCGCCAGCGGTACGCGTACATGCCTGCAGTGATTGGGTTGGTCAAAGGGATTGCTTCTGATTGAGAGTAGGATATACGGTGGTGACAACCGGAGAAAGTTCAGTTATCTTTTCAGTGTGCCTTTCCAACCAGTCTCATTCTTTGCCTTGCTCTGAAATATTCTCCCTATCCCGTTGCCGTTTCAATCTCTGCCCAATATACAAAGAAGCATGCAGCCACGGAGAAGCGACCGCCTCGCGTCTACCTGCGACGCGTGAATCATGATTTGGGACTGTATTCCACTTTAGTGAAAATCCTGCCGTCCGTCGAACAAAAAATTCCAGCAAGCAACTGCTTATGTGCAAGCATATGTCATGACCTACATGATCAGGACTTGGTGTCTTGCTTTTGCATGATTAAGTAATAGTTAGAGTTGCAGTCGCTCAGGCTGGAGTCTAGGACAGTTGTAAGGCACATACTGGATGTGATTGGCATTCTGCTTTTACAAAATAGACCTAGATGGCTTATTTTCTTGGCTGATCATGACTTTAAGCAGTGTTTTAAGCTACCTAACTAACCAATCACACCTGTTGGAATTTATTAGTCCCTTCAAGCCATCAATATTGATATTGTGCAGTCAATTATACAACAGGACAAGCTACCACTTAGCTTGCAGCATCATAAAGTAAGCTAATCTTATGTTATTTGATCTGCTTGTGTGCTTGAAGAGGCAAAGGGTATGTATCCACTTCAGTACCAAACTGGCTAGTGCCTTGCAACCCATCTAGTCTAGCCCAAAACACATACAATGAAAAAATAACTCATTTAGGGCGCAGAGTGAACGAAAATGCTATCCTTGACATGGTTCCACATGCAACCGAATGAACACTAAAATCTGAATTTGTTTAGGGTCAAAAATGGGCTTTTTAGAGCACCAATTTGTTCTTTTTTTTGTCCAGAACACTACGGATGTCATTTCTTCATGAAAATTCATACGTGGGTAGAACAATCGACCCAGGAGCCAAACGTTTGCGTCGACAGTGTGAAATTTTTTACAAGGAAAATAATTAACAAACAATTAAAGGAAAAATAGAGGAGAAGGGAATAAATACTTGCCAAGATACCATGCAGTGTCATGTCAACCTAGAGCTTAGCTAATTAGGATTGAAGTTTGGGAAAGGCAGCCTTTTCCTTCACGCAGGAGGTAAACTCATTCGCCTGTTCCTGCACATAGTTGAAAACATTGGTCAAATGCTTTTAAAGGGGGTGCTTTTTCAGCCTATGCATAAAAAGATACCTTGCAGTTGAGTCAGATTGCTTAAAATTATGCTTAAGATACTGTAGTCTTCTTTGCCTACCTTATCTGAGATGTTTCTATGCAGAACATGCAAACAACAATCTTCTCATGGCCAACTGGAGAATATTGTTCCAAACCATGTCTGTCATATGAATATCTTTGAACATATCACAGAAACAAAGAATTTAACTGTTTTAGGGATGTCACCTGATTTTTCATTTCATAAACAAATAGTAACTGCGCCACGCCAAAAAAAAAACACAAATAGTAACTGCGAATAACAGGAAACTTTACGAACTGAAATTTACATGATGTATGAATATCTTCAAATTCTGTTTGAACATTAAAAAAAGTTTGCAAAAGGGGACAGGGTTGGGCCGAGGTTGACCTGGGCAAGCAACATGTCACCATCAGCCCTTCAGCCGGAGACTAGGCCATATTTGTCTGGAGAACCTATAATTTGACCATCGTTGACAACACATGATTTGTTTTCCATTGATAATATGTTTTCCGTTGATTTGTCGTCGCCGGTATGGCTTCAACAACACATAATCCCATGCCCAGATTTTCAGTTGGCATGTTTTGGATGCCTTAAAGGTTGGACTAGTGAGAACATCTGGATTGAGATCTTGTGCTGTTAATGAATTAGGAGGCGGTCGTTTCATCAAGTCCAATCAAACTTAGTGATATGTGATGTCACTTTTTCCTTGAACAAAAAGCAATCCTTGAGATCCTTGCAGAGAATAAGCAGGCAAGCAAGCTACCCGTCAGCAGTTAGGTAAAGACCAATCATAGGAAGAGCAAGAAACCTTCAGCATTTCTCTGATAACCAAAGCCTTTAAACGTGAAAACTGACAGTGCGATGCAACAGCTCGAAGATTCTACATCACAACTAGCAATGTGAACATTGAAACTGTTAACCGCCCGTTAGCGAAAGTTACGTACCCTCTTTCTTCAAAGCATGATGAATCACATTTGCACCACACCATGAAAAATACCTTTATATACCAAGTTCCTTGAGCAGAACAAAGATCCCAAGAACCAAAAGGTTCAGAAAGAAAGAGTGACAACCGTTTTTACTCTGTTGAGCGTACTACGTTCCCGATACTGTGCGCCATGTCTTTTTTCGCAACACCAGATCTGATCCAGATCAGCCGTCCACAAGGAGTACAATACGAGGAGTATAACAGTACAGTAGCAATGTGAACATGAGAATTGAAGTGAAAGCTAAATAAAGCTACGGACGTGTGCCATTTTTTTCTGTCCAAAAAAGCGTGATGCACCACATTTGCACCACACCTACACAGGTCCCTTTTGAGGTTGCTTTCCTGCAGTGTCAATGCCTTTGGAGTGGGGGTGCATGCCTCTGACTAATCTGTCTGGTGACCTTGTCCACGAAGCAACTCTGACCCAATCTATAATCTATCTACATGGGTCACACGATACCCTAATGGCTGGTACTAGTAAATTATTGATTGAGAGCTGAAAGGAGCCAAGACCGGACCGCATCAAGGATCCAGGCAAGATCGCTACTATGACAAATCAGGGCGATGCCTTTGTCACAAGGGAAGGGAAACCCCTCCTTCCTCCCTCTGTCGCCCGCCAATGGGAGCGCGGTTAGGTCGCCGACATTCGGGTCGCCAAGGGTTTTATATGTAGTATAATCTGGGCAGAGCCAGACTAAGCAAAACAGATTGGGCAGACGGTGATGGGTTGTCCTACCTAGGTCAGCTGTTGTGAGGCTCCTCCTCAAGGAAGAGGAGGGGAAGCCTTGTCTTTCTTTAATGGGTCAGGAGGAGAGGAGAGGAAAAATAAGTGCATCTGCTTTGTGTTTCTGCTGACTAATCATGCACGAATTGGGTCACCTTTCTTTCAGAAAAGGATGTCAAAGTGAGTCACCTGCAGGATGGCATTTTGCCTGTCCAGGTATGTATAGATGGAGAAGGGCCACATGAAAGACGGATTTCTTGAATTGGAAGGGTTGGTGGCGCGTCAGTCATTCGGTTCTGTTCAGATCGGTAAGCAATGCACCATGTGCAAATAATTCTCGTTATTCTGCAGGCAGAAGGAGGACCCATGCATGTCTAGTTGTTACTTAGGGCTTAAGAGAAGAGAGCTATTACGATCCAAAAGGATGCCATGCAACTACTACTAGTCTGAGCAAGCAATGTCCTGCACACGGACATCAGAGCATGTTCAGATAGTTTCTTTCACGTAGGCCAAGTCTCGATCTCAACCCCACCCGTTGTGGAGTTCCTGGATTTATTGGTTGCATATGCAATAATGTGCAGGGATACGAGTAGCGACAGATGTTGCTAGGATGGTGGCTTCAGACTACCTGATGTACCACTTTGTAAGGTCTTTGTGAATAATTAATAAAATGGCTGCATGCATCGCCCAGATGCAGAGGCCGGGGGTAATCCTTATCCTCCTTTTCTAAAAAGAAAAGTAATGTGCGGGGGGCTGTTTACGTCCAGTATCTAATGGGTGTGAATGGCGCCATTGTTGATCTAGTGGAGATCTCCAATGCTGTTGCAGATCTCAGTAAACCAGACCTCGGCCAGAGCACGTTCAGTAACAGCGAACATAGGCAGAAAACATGAGTCCTTCTCACAGCAGCAGCTGGGGTTCCCTGATGGCCTCTACACAAGAAACATGGGTGCCACACTACTCCAGGTTTTTCTTTAATCTAATTTAACTTGCTCTAATTCCGCCCAAAAAAAAACTCGCTCTAAAACCCACCCTTTGTCTGAAAAAAAGAACTTGCTATATTCAAACAGATTACGATCCAGTAAGCTTTCAAAACGTTCTGGCCATGGATTGCTGTTCTTATCGTTAACAAAGTTGTTATGCACATAGTTGCAACAGGATTGGTCAATCATACATAATAGTTTGCCGGGTGATTTGACTATCTTTATTGTATAGATCATCTATGTTTTAAACATCTCAAGTAGTGATCTAAACGATCTTATATTTCTTTACAGAGGGAGTACCTTCTAGACTAGTGTTAAATACAACTGTCAGAAATGTCAACAGAGCATGAAATCCTCAGCTTGCTTCAAAACCGGGACAATCTTGGCTACTATCTATCTTTAGTGTGGTTGCTGAATCAGTTCAGGTATAAGCCGGAGCAGGAACCCCAGCTGCTGCTGTGAGAACGACTCATGTTTTCTGCATATGTCAACACTGTTACTGAATGTGCTCTGGCCGAGGTCTGGTTTACTGAAATCTGCAACAGCATTGGATATCTCCTCCACTAGATCAACAATGACACCATTCACACCCATTAGATACTGGATGTAAACAGCCTCCCGCACATTACTGCATATATGCAACCAATAAATCCAGGAAATCTGTAAGATTTCTGAGAACACATACCCGAGAAACATGAACGCAGGATAACAGTGCGCTGCTTACTTGAGCTGCCCATAGGTGAGAATAGCAAGGTTGGATTCTTGTGCTTTTAGGATCGCAGAGGGATTTTTTAGAACTCCTCTGACTTCTGACACAACCCCATGCAAGTCATACTCTTGGCACACTTGGATAGCATTGTCGAGTGAGTTCCTTCTCCTATCATCGTGTTTGGCTGTTCCCCCTTCTGTTAAGAACAGTACCTAATGAAAGATAAAAAGTTGAATACGATAGTGCTGAAGTATGTATGTACTTAAATGGACGGCAAAATTTTATTCAAATTAGAAACTACAGACATCAAAATCATGCAATTCCACATCACAGACAAGTTAAAATAGCGAATAAGATACTGGTTTGGACTGAAGTTGTCTTTCTCTTCATACCTATTATCATCAGTCCGGTCACTGAATTGTATATACATTAAACACAATAAGCTATGCATTATAACATTTTTAAATACTTTTCTTATTGCAGGAATATGATATTACATGCTGATTTAAGAGTACGCTTTTTTTCGAAAAGGAGGATGACCCCTGGCCTCTGCATCTAGGAGATGCATGCAGCCATTTTATTAATTATTCACAAAGACCTTACAAAGTAGTACATCAGGTAGTCTGAAGTCACCATCTTAGCAACATCTGTCGCTACTCCTATCCACTTGATGAAGGGGTGTCGATAGTCCGAGCCTAATACCAAACAGACATCACACAAATGCCTAACATCTAAAGCCGGAGGCCCCAACCAAGCCACATACTGGGTTTGGGGCGCAAACGGGTCCGACGCACTCTCATAGGTCGTCGCCGCCGTCTTCCACTGATCCATCTTCAGAGCAGGAACTGACGCATCAACCTTGGCAGGCCTGCTGTCAACGCCCCCACGGTGCCAGACAACGCCTCCTCCCTGCGCGCGTCCCTTCTGTGAAGTACGCTTATGCCTTCACGAACTTCTCAGTTGCATTTTTTTCACTTTATGCAAGTAAATGAGAAATCTTGAAGGCATTCCTACTTGCTGTAACTAGGGAGCACAAAACATCCTCGATACTCGTATGCAAGTGAACCACGCGCTACTACCACACTGTTCCCCATTGCAATGCGGTAAGTGATACAAGTAATCGGTGAAATACTATTAGCTAGCTAGAGTGTTTACTGTTTAGAAACATTCTTTTTTTCTAAAAAGGGGCAAATGTGAGGAAACTTTTCAAAAAATAATTAGACATAGAATGAATACAGAATTTTCAAGGCATGCTTACAGGGTATACACTTTGGAGTTCACGTGTTATCCGTGCGGCATCAGGTTGGAATGTTGAGAAAAAGAGTGGTCTGTTGCCAGCATACTGAAAAACAACCTACCAGACCATTTAACAATGTTATGGTCGTCGCCTCACAGTGACCAAATGATTGTATGGGAATTAACCGATACCATATTAAATGAACAAGAGCAATCCATACTTGCAGTACAGCTTGAAGAGCACGGTTAAGGTTGACGCCCGGATAGATAATGTTGTCATCAAACTTTAGTTCGATGTTAAATCCCAGATGGGGACTGACATGTTCGAAGACTTCCTGCAATGTGCAGAGATAATCATCTTCTTCGGTGCTCCAAGCAAGGACTCTGCCATCTTCCATCCGTCTAAGTAGGGGCTTGGAGACCTGAACAGAAATTATGAAGTGAATATAATGGCGTTTTAAGCACATGCTAATGAACCCTTCACAGCAAAATCTAACAGATAGAAGGGACGAAGTACCTTGTGCGGCTCTTTTTGTACCCCATATGAAAGGAATTCGTCCAGAAGAAGATCGGTCACGCGCCTTTCATACAAAACCTCCTGCACACCTTGCCATAATAGAAGATTAACTCGAGAGTTTTTCTTGCAATGGATGAATAGTTTAGTGCATACGCAAAAGATGACAAGTATAAGAATGGATGAAAAGAACATACAGTTTTTTGGGTGAGGATAAAATCATCGTGGAAGATAACTGGGCAGCCATCTTTTGTAACCTGCAAGCCAAAATGGTAGGATCATAACTTCAGGAGATCTGTGTGGGTACTGTGGTCATCTTAAAAGGAAGGGATAATGGATGAAGTCAGGGAGTTGCAGAATGCTCCAAGAGAACCGCCAGTTTTCATCAACCTAGCTTACATGTATTCTCCCTATGGTTGCCATTGCCGATTCCGCTGATGCTTTGGTCTGCGAATGACTCCTTGTAGTGGATTAATGACAACAGATGACACCAAGTACAACTGCAACTCAGGATCCAGGAGCTTGCCATGCAACACTTGAGCACTAGAGAACATCAACCCCAATCACCCTCACAACGTGGCTGCTGTACCTAGTCTGGTCATTTGCATCTAAGCAGTAGCTTCTTGTTTCATGTGATTAGCTTGCAGGCTACAATATAACAGCATTGCATATTACATCGGAACACAGATGGATCAATGTCACTCCACGCGTGTGCTGCTAGTGCTTGGTTACTTCAGAGAGAGAAACTAGCATGCGTATGGCGTCATGTCCATACGATTACCACATCCAAGTTCCACAAAAAGGATTTGTCCTCGAGGATCCCAAAAAATTAGTTGTACGGTTGTACCAACTAGAGCAGAGCACACATTGCTCAATCAACCACACCGGGAATCAGTTTCGCTCCTGAAGCTGCGGCGCCGATTCCAAATCCAAGCTTAAACAAGCTAGCAGCGTATCAATTGCGAAGTAATGATGGGAAATGGAAGCGGAGGCTAGCTACATGTGTATTGTGTGTATACCTGGACGTCGAACTCGACGAAGGCGACGGCGGCGTGCTCGGCGGCGCGGCCGAATGAGAGCAGCGTGTTCTCCCGCTCCCTCGCCGCCCCGACGCGCGCCCCGGGCGGCGCCCCCACCGCGTTCATCCCCATCCCGCGGTGACCCCCCACCACCATCCCCCGCTCCGCCAGCAGCGCGAACGGCAGCTCCCGGGGCCTCCCTCCGGCCGTCACCGGGGGCGTGGGCGCGCACGCCGCGATCGGACACCGCACCGCCGCGCGCGGGGTCGTCGCCGGGAGCGCCATTTGGACGCTGGGAGCCCCTCTTTTTTTTCTCTTTCTCCTCTGTTCTTTCGCCTCTGCTTTGCCACTTGCAGGTTGATTGGTGCAGGGAGAATTTGAATATTTTTAGACACGCAACCGCCGCAGACGGACGGCACGGAGGAGCAACGGCGCCACGCCGCGGGATGATCCCTCTGTGATGCGGGTATTATTCGGTGGATTTGGATATTCTGGGCATATTCCGTGAGGCGTCAGGGCATCTCCAACTAATCAAACCTTCGTGTCCGGATAGCGGAAGCCATCCAACACACGTCTATATCGGTTCGGGATACGGTCCGGACGAGATTTTTTCTGCAAACCGGAGACAAATATGGGATGCTTTGCGGGAGTCCGGACCGATCCCACGCCCGCTTCTGACCCTCTTGGCCCACCATAACCCCTTCCCCCTCGCCCACGTGCATTCCTGCCCGACGCCAGCTACCCGCATTCATGGCGTTATAGAGCGTGCCGCTCAACATTGAAGACGGCTCAGGGCGGACGCGACCTCACTGCTTCTGTCACTGAAGCGGCGTGTCGGCCGAGGGTGCCACCAGCGAAGCGTCTCTGGTGTCTGCGTCTGTTCAGTGCTAGAGACGTGTGACTAGACGGGAGGGGATGGATATCTACCACGCCCGTTCAATGTCGTTGTCCTTCCGTATGCCGCTATTAAGCAGGCTCGTCGGCCGAGAAACCCACTCTGGCGCCGCGGATTGACGCACCCGGACGCCTCGCCGCACTGGAACCTACTATTTAAAGGCGGCCACACCCGACCAAATTCCACACCACAATACAAGCCCCTCCTCATCCTCATCTCTTGCACTGCATCCAGCATGACTGTAGGCAGCGAAGCTCTGTGGGAGAGTCTTTCCACATAGATGAAGCATGCCGTGGCCGCCCTTACCACCGCCTGGCAGAGCCGCCGTGCCAAGCAGATCGAGGCCGGCTTGCTGGCCAGCTCGCCCGAGGTCTCCGACGACGAGGACGACACCACGATGGAGACGGGCTCCGACGACACCGCCCCAGCTCCCGCGCCTCCTGTGCACGTCAGCTTTACCATGGAGCAGATGCAGCCGCGCAAGCGCACTATAATTCCACCATGGCGGAGGTGCAGCCTGCGCCTGAAGGAAATATGCCCTAGAGGCAATAATAAAGTTATTATTTATTTCCTTATATCATGATAAATGTTTATTATTCATGCTAGAATTGTATTAACCGGAAACATAATACATGTGTGAATACATAGACAAACAAAGTGTCACTAGTATGCCTCTACTTGACTAGCTCGTTAATCAAAGATGGTTATGTTTCCTAACCATGAACAATGAGTTGTTATTTGATTAACGGGATCACATCATTAAGTGAATGATCTGATTGACATGACCCATTCCATCAGCTTAGCACCTGATCGTTTAGTATGTTGCTATTGCTTTCTTCATGACTTATACATGTTCCTATGACTATGAGATTATGCAACTCCCGTTTGCCGGAGGAACACTTTGTGTGCTACCAAACGTCACAACGTAACTGGGTGATTATAAAGGAGCTCTACAGGTGTCTCCAAAGGTACATGTTGGGTTGGCGTATTTCGAGATTAGGATTTGTCACTCCGATTGTCGGAGAGGTATCTCTGGGCCCTCTCGGTAATGCACATCACTTAAGCCTTGCAAGCATTACAACTAATGAGTTAGTTGCGGGATGATGTATTACAGAACGAGTAAAGAGACTTGCCGGTAACGAGATTGAACTAGGTATTGGAATACCGACGATCGAATCTCGGGCAAGTAACATACCGATGACAAAGGGAACAACGTATGTTGTTATGCGGTCTGACCGATAAAGATCTTCGTAGAATATGTAGGAGCCAATATGGGCATCCAGGTCCCGCTATTGGTTATTGACCGGAGACATGTCTCGGTCATGTCTACATTGTTCTCGAACCCGTAGGGTCCGCACGCTTAAGGTTACGATGACAGTTTTATTATGAGTTTATGCATTTTGATGTACCGAAGTTTGTTCGGAGTCCCGGATGTGATCACGGACATGACAAGGAGTCTCAAAATGGTCGAGACATAAAGATTGATATATTGGAAGCCTATGTTTGGATATCAGAAGTGTTCCGGGTGAAATCGGGATTTTACCGGAGTACCGGGAGGTTACTGGAACCCCCCGGGAGCTATATGAGCCATAGTGGGCCTTAGTGGAAAAGAGAAGGGGCTGCCCAAAGTGGGCCGTGCGCCCCTCCCCTCCCTTGGTCCGAATAGGACAAGGAGAGAGGGCCAGCCACCCTCTCTCTTTTCCCCCCTCTGCGAATCCTATTCCAACTAGGATTGGGGGGGGGGATCCTACTCCCAGAGGGAGTAGGACTCCTCCTGGCGCACCTCTCCTAGGCCGGCCGCACCCCCCCCCCCTTGATCCTTTATATAC